CCCTGTAATGATTAGGTGCGTCCAAACTTTTGACTGGTACTGTAAATAGACAGTAAAGGTGATACATGACATAGTTTAGATCTGCTTACAGTACGATGTAAGCTACAGAACGTCTAAAAGACAAAGTGTCCTTACCATGTTCTTACCATATGTTCTTACTATGTACAGAATGATGCTTGATTGAATGAATGTTATTCCAGGGCAAGTCAGGTGACCCTGGAATAGCAGGTCAGCCAGGACACCCAGGAATGCCAGGCTTGACAGGACCTAAGGTATTTACAGGCTCCTACAAAATCACTCTTAACTGCTGGGAAAATACTGTGTCTTAACAGTTTGATAGGGATTTACCTGTGTGTAGGCCTATTTAGCAATTACTGGATTATTGGAAATAGCAATTAAAGTCATTTTCACTAAATGTTCTGTTCAAAGAGGGTCTCACACCCTTTTGAAATTGATATACAGTGCCTTCGGAAACTATTCAGACCCCTTGACTTTTTCCACATTTTGTTAGGTTACAGCCTTATTCTAAAATTAATTAAATTGTTTTTTCCCCTCATCAATCTACACACAATACCCCATAATGACAAAGCAAAACAGGTTTTTATAAATATTTGCCTAATTTATTACAAATAAAAAACAGAAATATCAGATTTAAATAAGTATTCAAATCAAATCAAATCAAATTTGATTTGCCAAATGCGCCGAATATAACAGGTGTAGACATTACAGTGAAATGCTTACTTACAAGCCCTTAACCAACAACAAGCAAGTAACTAAAGAGCAGCAGTAAAATAAAATAACAGTAGGGAGGCTATATACAAGGGGGTACCGGTGCAGAGTCAATGTGCGGGGGCACCGGCTAGTCGAGGTAATTGAGGTAATATGTACATGTGGGTAGAGTTAAAGTGACTATGCATTAATAATAAACAGAGTAGCAGCAGCGTAAAAGAGGGGGGGGGGGGGGGCAGTGCAAATAGTCCGGGTAGCCATGATTAGCTGTTCAGGAGTCTTATGGCTTGGGGGTAGAAGCTGTTGAGAAGCCTTTTGGACCTAGACTTGGCGCTCCGGTACCGCTTGCCGTGCTGTAGCAGAGAGAACAGTCTATGACTATGGTGGCTGGAGTTTTTGACAATTTTGAGGTCCTTCCTCTGACACCGCCTGGTATAGAGGTCCTGGATGGCAGGAAGCTTGGCCCCAGTGATGTACTGGAGGCCGAGCAGTTGCCATACCAGGCGGTGATGCAACCAGTCAGGATGCTCTCAATGGTGCAGCTGTAGAACATTTTGAGGATCTGAGGACCCATGACAAATATTTTCAGTCTCCTGAGGGGGAATAGGCTTTGTTGTGACCTCTTCACGACTGTCTTGGTGTGTTTGGACCATGATAGTTCGTTGGTGAACTTGAAGCTCTCAACCTGTTCCACTACAGCCCCGTCGATGAGAATGGGAGCGTGCTCAGTCTTCTTTTTTTCCTGTAGTCCACAATCATCTCCCAGGTAGCTTAGTGGGTAAGAGCGTTGTGCCAGTAACCGAAAGGTCGCTGGTTCTAATCCCTGAGCCGACTAGGTGAAAAATCTGTCGATGTGCCCTTAAGCAAGGCACTTAACCCTAATTGCTCATGTAAGTCGCTCTGGATAAGAGCGTCTGCTAAAATTTAATTTTTAATTTTAAAAATTTAAATCACGTTGACAGAGAGGTTGTTATCCTGGCACCACACGGCCAGGTCTCTGACCTCCTCCCTATAGGCTGTCTCATCGTTGTCGGTGATCAGGCCTACCACTGTTGTGTCATCAGCAAACTTAATGATGGTGTTGGAGTCGTGCCTGGCCATGCAGTCATGGGTGAACAGGGAGTACAGGAGGGGACTGAGCACGCACCCCTGAGGGGCCCCGTGTTGAGGATCAGCGTGGCAGATGTGTTGTTACCTACCCTGACTACCTGGGGGCGGCCCGTCAGGAAGTCCAGGATCCAGTTGCAGAGGGAGGTGTTTAGTCCCAGGATCCTTAGCTTAGTGATGAGCTTTGAGGGCACTATAGTGTTGAACGCTGAGTTGTAGTCAATGAATAGCATTCTCACGTAGGTGTTCCTCTTGTCCAGGTGGGAAAGGGCAGTGTGGAGTGCAATAGAGATTGCATCATCTGTGGATCTGTTGGGGCGGTATGCAAATTGGAGTGGGTCTAGGGTTTCTGGGATAATGGTGTTAATGTGAGCCATGACCAGCCTTTCAAAGCCCTTCATGGCTACAGACGTGAGTGCTACGGGTCGGTAGTCATTTAGGCAGGTTATCTTAGTGTCCTTGGGCACAGGGACTATGGTGGTCTGCTTGAAACATGTTGGAATTACAGACTCAGTCAGGGACATGTTGAAAATGTCAGTGAAGACACTTGCCAGTTGGTCAGCACATGCTCGGAGTACACGTCTGGTAATCCGTCTGGCCCTGCGGCCTTGTGAATGTTGACGTGCTTAAAAGTCTTACTCACATCGGCTACGGAGAGCGTGATCGCATAGTCAGACCCTTTACTCAGTACTTTGTTGAAGCACATTTGGCAGCGATTACAGAAGTCTTCTTGTGTATGAAGCTACAAGCTTGGCACACTTGTATTTGGGGAGTTTCTCCCATTCTTCTCTGCAGATCCACTCAAGCTCTGTCAGGTTGAATGGGGAGCATTGCTGCACAGCTTTTTTCAGGACTCTCCAAAGATGTTCCATCGGGTTCAATTCCGGGCTCTGGCTGGGCCACTCAAGGACATTTAGAGACTTGTCCCGAAGCCACTCCTGCGTTGTCTTGGCTGTGTGCTTAGGGTCGTTTTCTTGGCGGCCAGCTCTAGGAAGACTCATGGTGGTTCCAAACTTCTTCCATTTAAGAATGATGGAGGCCACTGTGTTCTTGGGCACCTTCAATGCTGCAGAAATTCTGTGGTACCCTTCCCCAGATCTGTGCCTTGACACAATCCTGTCTCTGACCTCTACAGACAATTCCTTCGATCAAGTTGTAGAATTATCTCAAGGATGATCAATGGAAACAGGATGCACCTAAGTCAATTTCTAGTCTCATAGCAAAGGGTGTGTATACTTATGTAAATAAGGTATTTATGTTCTTTATTTTTAATACATTGGCAAACATTTCTAAAAGCCTGTTCACGCTTTGTCATTATGGGGTATTGTGTGTAGATAGCTGAGGATTTTTATTTATTTAATTCATTTTAGAATAAGGCTGTAACGTAAAAGAAATGTGGAAAAAGTCAAGGGCACTGTAAATGTTTTCTTCATCTGAGGCGTAGTGTACAATTGAGCTGGGATTGAGCATTAGAATGTTTTCTGCAAATGTTTTCAGTGTTGCCATCCCGATCACATTTTGTTTATTTAATGAGAAAGGAAAAATACTGACGTTGCATTTTGATGAAGAATTTGGAGCCAGAAACCTACTTTATGGTGAGCTGTGTTTCCAGATTTACCTCCGTTAACTTCAATAAAGAATATTAATTTATACTACAGCAAACAAGCAAGTCTTTCATGGGATTAAATTAATTAATTACCCCAAGGACTGCAATTTAGAGGTGAGGGTTAATCGAATGCAGTAAAATACATAATTGATCTCTAACAGTATTGTTTACAGGAACTTTTTTGAAATCACTGGCCACTTTAAGAAATGGAACACTAGTCACTTTAATAATTTTACATATCTTGCACTACTCATCTCATATGTATATACTGTATTCTATTCTATAATATTCTACTGTATCTTAGTCCATGCCGCTCTGTCATTGCTTGTCCATATATGTATATATTCTTAAATTCCATTCCTTACTAGATTTGTGTGAGGAGTGTTGTGAAATTGTTAGATATTACTGCACTGTCGGAGCTAGAAGCACAAGCATTTCGCTACACCCGCAATAACATCTGCTAAACACATGTATGTGACAAATAAAATTTTGTTTTATTTTATTTGTTTCGCAGACATTCTTTGATGTTCCACCGTAGAGACAATAGTTTACCATTTCATAAATATAATAAACAGTACTTTTCAGTTTGCCTTTCATTTCATTTCTACCACTTCAGGACAAGTTGCAATCTTACTACAAAATATCTGAAAAAACTAGTGAAACACTACAAGAGGCTTGTATAATGTTTAACATACTGTCATCTGTCATATCCATAGCATGTGTCATGGATGTGGTGCAGTATGTGGGTATTGAAGTTGAAACATTTGGAACCGTAACTCTGTATTCTCCTACTACCCATAACAATAACATGTCATTTCTATCTCACCAGGGACAAAGGGGAGATCCAGGTGAACGAGGAGGGGAGGTATTCATAACATTTAATTGGGGTTTTCTTATGTAACTCCTGATGATCATTCAAACCCATTAGCTACACCTGAGGCTTTGGATGGAGCGTCTGTCCTCTCAGGGTATTTCATGTTCCAGACATTATTTAGTTTGATTGTATTTTGCCATGTTGCTCAGTCCAAGAGAACAAATAATGGTAAACAGCAAAGAATGAAATTGAACATACTGTAACTGTAGAACATATTGAAACCTTCATTTTACTTATGGACAAGAGATTGCTTTGGAAAACATAAATAGAGGATGCTATGTTTTCAATTTACAAACGATCGCTTGGGGTGTAATCGGATGCTCGGCTCACTACCTCATTCCAAATGTGGTTGCTTTCATTTAGCCAGAGTGGAATCATGTTGAACAACCTCTTAATTCAATGTCATGGAAAACAGGGACAGCAATGATCTTTGTGGGAAAAACTAGGAAGCATATCGAGTCAAATGACAATGTCACCACAGGACTGTGGTTAAGAAGTCACTTGGACTGTGTCTCTGGATGTAAAATATCCATTAAACTGACTGTCATGGACGTAGCAACAACCTTTATGTAAAATCTCATTCTAAAATCATGACTGGCAAATTTTAACTCTGCTCTGAAGGACGATGATTTGATTACTGAGGACCTTAGGTTTAACCACAAGCACAAATTACAGAAACATTGTACAACTAAAAACAAACACCATAATTGCTAGTTGAATTTTCCCTACAGGGATTGAGAGGTGAAAAGGGAGATATGGGGATTCCAGGGAATCATGTAAGTTGCGCTTCCTATGATTACATGTAATATTATTTACAGTGCATTCGGAAAGTATTCAGACCCCTTGGTTTTTTCCACATTTTGTTACGTTACAGCCTTATACTAAAATGCATTATATACATAATACCCCATAATGATGAAGCAAAAGCTTTTTTATGTTTGCAAATGCGGCAGGTAGCTTAGTGGTTAAGAGCGTTGTGCCAGTAACCGAAAGGTCGCTGGTTCTAATCCCCGAGCCGACTAGGTGAAAAATCTGTCGATGTGCCCTTGAGCAAGGCACTTAACCCTAATTGCTCCTGTAAGTTGCTCTGGATAAGAGCGTCTGCTAAATGACGTAAATGTAAATGTATAATAAAAAACAACTGAAATATCACATTTACGTAAGTATTCAGACCCTTTACTCAGTACTTTGTTGAAGCACCTTCGACAGCGATTACAGCCTCGAGTCTTCTTGGGTATGAAGCTACAAGCTTGGCACACCTGTATTTGGGGAGTTTCTCCCATTCTTCTCTGCAGATCCTCTCAAGCTCTGTCAGGTTGGATGAGGAGCGTCGCTGCACAGCTATTTTCAGGTCTCTCCAGAGATTTTAGATCGAGTTCAAGTCTGGGCTCTGGCTGGGCCACTCAAGGACATTCAGAGACTTGTCCCGAAGCCACTCCTACATTTCCTTGGCTGTGGGGTTAGGGTCGTTGTCCTGTTGGAAGGTGAACTTCCGACCCAGTCTGAGGTCCTGAGCACTCTGGAGCAGGTTTTCATCAAGAATCTCTCTGTACTTTGCTCCGTTCATCTTTCCCTCGATCCTGACTAGTCTCCCAGTCCCTGCCGCTGAAAAACATCCACACAGCATGACGCTGCCATCACCATGCTTCACCGTAGGGATGGTGCCAGGTTTCCTCCAGATGTGACGCTTAGCATTCAGGCCAAAGAGTTCAATGCTGGTTTATCAGACCAGAGAATCTTGTTTCTCATGGTCTGAAAGTCCTTTAGGTGCCTTTTGGCAAACTCCAAGCGAACTGTCATGTGCCTTTTACTGAGGAGTGGCTTCCGTCTGGCCACTCTACCATAAAGGCCTGATTGGTGGAATGCTGCAGACATGGTTGCCCTTCTGCAAGGTTCTCCCATCTCCACAGAGGACCTCTGGAGCTCTGTCAGAGTGACCATCGGGTTCTTGGCCACCTCCCTGAACAAGGCCCTTCTTCCCCGATTGCTCAGTTTGGCCGGGCGGCCAGCTCTAGGAAGAGTCTTGGTGGTTCTAAACTTCTTCCAAGGCCACTGTTTTCTTGGGGACCTTCAATGCTGCAGGAATTTTTTGGTACCCTTCCCCAGATCTGTGCCTCGACACAATCCTGTCTCGGAGCTCTACAGACAGTTTGTTCGACCTCATGGCATGGTTTTTGCTCTGACATACACTGTCAACTGGACCTTATATAGACAGGTGTGTGCCTTTCCAAACCGTGTCCAATCAATTGAATTGACCACAGGTGGACTCCAATCAAGTTGTAGAAACATCTCAAGGATGATCAATGGAAACAGGATGCACCTGAGCTCAATTTCGAGTCTCATAGCAAAGGGTCTGAATTCTTATATAAATACAAAAAACCTGTTTTTGCTTTGTCATTATGGGGTAGTGTGTGTAGATTAATGAGGGGAAAAAATGTAACGTAACAAAATGTGGAAAAAGTCAAGGTGTCTGAATACTTTCCGAATGCACTGTATATCAATGAATGAATTCCGGCTTAAATATTAAAGTATTTTGTCCAATTGGACAGTTGATTGCCCAGTAGCCTCGGAAGCCCAGTTACATAGTACTTAATGCTTGCAAGTGCTATGATTTTTCTATGTGAAACTGTTCTAACCACATTACAGTGATTATTCCATAGCCTATATAATTCATAACTGGGAATATTTTCCTCTTGTCACAATGTATTCATTTCATATTGTAGACTAGCATTGACTATGTTCTAATACACTCATGTACAGGAGTTGGATTGGAAATGTGGAAGTATGGGAACAACTCTCAAATTAAAGTTGTGATTGAATTGTGATTAATCAACATTACTAATCAGCCACCATCACTTTGATTGACAGGGCTCTAATGGCTCATCGGGACAAAAAGGGGGGGTAAGTCTGTCATTGACTACTGTAAGTTGCTGTAGCCCTGAATAGCCAAGCATACGTCCCCATCTAGAGTATAGCAATGTGTGTACTTATACTATGCTCTTGTGCATGCCAGAAAGGGACAACAGGAGACCCTGGTCAGAGGGGACTGGAAGGTCACCAAGGCCAGCCAGGATTATCAGGGCAGACAGGCCCGTCTGGGCCTCGAGGACAGAGCGGTGAAGTTGGCCCTCCTGGGCCACCTGGACTAGAGGGTAGACCTGTATGTAACCCACGAGTACACTCACCCACCATGCATGGTCTCACATTCAACTGCTCTTACTGTACATTGATCAACAATCATCGTAATTGTTCCATCAATGTCTATGCCGATTGTATGAATTGACTTAGACATTTTGCATGATGCCATCAATTATGTCAAATCTCCACAGGGAAGGGAGATGTCCAAGCAAATCATTCAGCAAATATGCAGAGAGGTACTTAGATGTGAGTATTGATTATGTTTGATAATTGCTGTATTCTTTATACTACACCTATATCTGTGCCCCCCTCCATTGTGTTTTTTATCCCAGTGGAGATGCCTTCGCTACTCCTCAGTAACCAGCAGCAGAGTAACTGTGACCACTGCCAAAGCAGGGATGGGACTCCGGGGGCACCAGGCCCAGTTGGGCCCCAGGGATCGAGGGGCTTTACTGGGAACCCTGGTTCCATTGGACAGCCGGGCCATCCAGGTCGACCTGGGCGTCCTGGGATGTATGGCTTGAAGGGTAGGACTCAATTAGTCTGTGCAGTATGTACGGTAAACAGTAGAGTAGTAGTAAACATTGGATTTGTACTGGAACACATTGCATTCTATTTGTGTTTCCAGGAGATCCAGGAATAAAGGGGGAGAAGGGGAATCAAGGAAGAGCAGAGATCGGAGATCCAGGAACATCAGGGCCTCCAGGTAAAAATATAAATATGAAATATGTTTACTCCATATGGTATGCTACTGCACATCAAATTTGATATACAGTGCATTCGGGAAAGTATTCAGACTCATTTAGTTTTTCCACATTTTGTTACGTTACAGCCTTATTCTACAATGGATTCAATAAATAATACATCTCATCAATTTACACACAATACCCCATAATGACAAAGCGAAAACAGGTTCTTAGAAATGTTTTGCACAAAACAGAAATGCATTCTTTACATAAGTATTCAGACCCTTTGCTATTAAACTCGAAATTGAGCTCAGGTGCATCCTGTTTACATTGATCATCCTTGAGATGTTTCTACAACTTGATTGGAGTCCACCTGTTGTAAATTAAATTGATTGGACATGATTTGGAAAGGCACACACCTGTCTATATAAGGTCCCACAGTTGACAGTGCATGTCAGAGCAAAAATCAAGACATGAGGCCGAAGGAATTGTCCGTAGAGCTCCGAGACAGGATTGCGTCGAGGCACAGATCTGGGTAAGGATACCAAAACATTTCTGCAGCATTGAAGGTCCCCAAGAACACAGTGGCCTCCATCATTTGGTACCACCAAGACTCTTCCTAGAGCTGGCCGCCTGGCCAAACTGAGCAATCGGGGGAGAAGGGCCTTGGTCAGGGAGGTGACCAAGAACCCGATGGTCACTCTGACAGACCTCTAGAGTTCCTCTGTGGAGATGGGAGAACCTTCCAGAAGGACAAACATCTCTGCAGCACTCCACCAATCAGGCCTTTATGGTAGAGTGGCCAGACAGAAGCCACTCCTCAGTAAAAGGCACATGACAGCCCGCTTGGAGTTTGCCAAAAGGCACCTAAAGACTCTCAGACCATGAGAAACAAGATTCTCTGGTCTGATGAAACCAAGATTGAACTCTTTGGCCTGAATGCCAAGCGTCACGTCTGGAGTAAACCTGGCACCATCCCTACGGTGAAGCATGGTGGTGGCAGCATCATGCTGTGGGGATGTTTTTCAGCAGCAGGGACTGGGAGACTAGTCAGGATCGAGGGAAAGATGAACAGAGCAAAGTACAGAGAGATTCTTGATGAAAACCTGCTCCAGAGCGCTCAGGACCTCAGACTGGGGCAATGGTTCAGCTTCCAACAGGACAACGACCCTAAGCACACAGCCAAGACAACACAGGAGTGGCTTCGGGACAAGTCTCTGAATGTCCTTGAGTGGCCCAGCCAGAGCCCGGACTTGAACCCCATCTAACATCTCTGGAGAGACCTGAAAAAAGCTGTGCAGCGACGCTCCCCATCCAACCTGACAGAGCTTGAGAGGATCTGCAGAGAAGAATGGAGAAACCCCCCAAATACAGGTGTGCCAAGCTTGTAGCGTCATACCCAAGAAGACTCGAGACTGTAATCGCTGCCAACGGTGCTTCAACAAAGTAATGAGTAAAGGGTCTGAATATTTATGTAAATGTGATATTTCCGTTTTTTTTTTTTAATAAATTGGCAAACATTTCTAAAAAACCTGTTTTTGCTTTGTCATTATGGGGTATTGTGTGTAGATTTCATCCATTTTAGAACAAGGCTGTAATGTAACAAAATGTGGAAAAGCTCAAGGGGTCTGAATACTTTCCGAATGCAGTGTATGTAGTATAATTATGTCTATTTGGTTATTTAATCAAGATAGGAATTAAATCAGGACAATTCTCTTAATATTGATGCGTCTGGGTCACTGCACAGTGCTCCAATCACGTCCTCAGTCCAAGTTGTTTGAGAGCTCTTTCTGGGAGTCATTTCATGTCTATTGCAACCTGTTTTCCCTCTTCTGCAGATAAATACACTGCTAGTCTTTTGTGACCTTAGTTACCCCTATTCAATAAAAACTGATCAAATAACAGGATTAGGAGTTGTTGGCAACCAGTAGGAATTTTTTTGGAACCACAAGAGAAACACCTAATTTGTAATTGTCTACTTTCCCAGGTCCAATGGGTCCTCAGGGAGATAGTAAACCAGGTCATCCAGGGAAACCAGGACCCCCTGGCCTAAACGGGGAGGAGGGGAAGAGAGGTAACCCTGGGGTCCCGGGCCAGCCAGGGGTGTGCAATCTATCCATGTGTTACGGTGTCATGATGAGGAGCAGGGATCCTTTTAGTAAAGGACCAAACTATTGACCCAACATGGCAGCAGGCAGGCAATCAAACAGTCTGGAGTTGATGCATAGCGCTCAAAGAAAAACAGCAAATCTTTCCAATCTCAGGAAGATCACATTTTTTACAGTGTTTCCCCTCAGTCACGGAAACAGGAAGTACCTCTTAACATGTACGGTATATAGTAAAGATATCCATGTGCGTCCTTTCATGAGCTTTCTCACGCCCTGTGTATACCTGGTTCTAACATGCGTCCTTTGTCCTGATCTTGTCTAAATTCTGGTTGTGCCCACATTTTTAGACAGGTGTAGACGATTAAAAGATGCATTGTGATATGATTGTGATCAGATCTTCCTGACCCCCTTAGATAGCCAGGAACACATTGTGTCTGGATATCTTACAAGTGTAGATGGATCTGGACAGTGAAACCCTTTAAATCATCATTATCCCGCCCTCTAAAATCATTGACAGATGGCACCATTGACTTCCCACTGGGCACACACTGGTTGAATCAATGTTGTTTCCACATAATTTCAATTAAATTACGTTGAACCAACGTGAACTAGACGCTGAATTGACGTCTGTGCCCAGTGGGTTATGCCATCAATATGTGTCTTAAAATAAATAAATATTATTTTGAAAGAATAGCTGTGAAAACATTTGCATAAAGGGAGGGACCAGGAAATATGGTCGTGATAAGAGATGAATTACATTTCTGAAAATCTGGTCACAATCAGAATGTGGACAAGATCAGGACACAGGAACAATGTTAGCGCCAGGTATAAACAGGACTTCAGAGTAAAAACTTCTTCATTTTGATCTTCTCACATTCTGCTTTGTTATGTCACAGGCTCCATTTTGCTTTAAACGGACATTGTGACATTAAGCACTTTTTTCTACTTACCCAGAGTCAGATTAACCAATGGATGCCATCTCTGATCCAAAGCATCCAATGTAAATAATTCTGCACTGCTCACACAAGTACACAGGAATAAAGGGCTGCAGCTCCACTTGGACAATGCTGATGGTACAATTTCTTGCTATACCAATTTCTTGCTATATACTGCCCCCTGTTGTTACTTTGTTGCACCATACTTTCTGAATGGTCACCCAGAATTGGTCAACCCTAAATGTGTTTACCAAATTTGTTTGTAGTTATATATGCAATGTTTAAAGACCCGTGTAATGTATTATCATTTGTAAATTGATAAATGCAGTTATTGTAAACAACGTCTAAAGAATTATTACAACGTTTCAGGGCAAATCTGTGAGCTTGCTATCTCTATAATGGAGGCTGCTATGTTCATAAAACAATTTGTTGAATAAACATAAAACAAAAGCCAAATATTTTATCATCTAAAACATAAACTTGTGAGCATTACTGCAATTTCAGTTTATATTCCTTTTATTTTTATTTTTATAATAACTAGTTTGTGTATTGAATGAAAATACAGAAATACTAACTCTTACATGAAGGATACCTAGTATAACAAATGTAAACCTGGGAAATCCTAGCTACTTTCTGTCAAAAGAGCAAGGGCAAAAAGAAACATGTTGACATCTCGACTTCATCTGAAGTTTGCTGTGTCTGTTGCAAATTATTTGCTGTTATGTGCCTGAGTTACCTTACCTTTCCATACCGTACCTAATGTTACCTTAGCCAAGCAAGTATTTTTTGTTATTTATAAAACTGAACTAATTTACTGTGTATTAATGGGCTTTACCTGTGAGAGCTTGGTCTGTTTTATTTTTGCTGTCTAATTTTATATTAAAAAATGTATGTGTAATTGTGACTTTTGCGTTGATTTTTGGTATTATTAATTAAAACCTTTTTTATGACTTGTGAAGTTTTTTTTGTTTTATTTCCTTGTGTGTTGTGTCATGCAAATTAAAGGGGAATTCCACCATTTTGTTGTATTACAGCCTGAATTTACAATTGATTAAGTTGAGATTTTGTGTCACTGGCCTACACATAATACCCCATAATGCCAAAGTGGAATTATGTTTTCACTCCAAAAAAAGCAGACATTGAGTATCCTTTTGAGAATGGTGAAGTTATTAATTACACTTTGGATGGAATATCAATACACCCAGTCACTACAAAGATACAGGCGTCCGTCTTAACTCAGTTGCCGGAGAGGAAGGAAACAGCTCAGGGATTTCACCACGAGGCCAATGGTGACTTTAAAACAGTTACAGAGTTTAATGGCTGTGATAGGAGAAAACTGAGGATGGATCAACAACATTGTAGTTACACCACAATACTAACCTAAATGACAGAGTGGAAGAAGCAAGCCTGTACGGACTAAAATAAGGCACTAAAGTTTAACTGAACATTATGTCCTGAATACAAAGCATTATGTTTGGGGCAAATCCAACACAACACATCACTGAGTAACACTCTTCGTATTTTCAAGCATGGTGGTGGCTGCATCATGTTATGGGTATGCTTGTCATCGACAAGTACTAGGGTGTCTTTTTTAAACAGAATAGCGCTAAGCACAGCCAAATCCTAGAGGAAAACCTGGTTCAGTCTGCTTTGCAACAGACACTGAGAGACAAATTCACCTTTCAGCAGGACAATAACCTAAAACACAAGGCCAAATATACACAGGTGTTGCTTACCAAGATGACATTGAATGTTCCTGAGTGGCCATGTTACAGATTTGACTTAAATCCGCTTGAATATATATGGCAAGACTTGAAAATGGCTGTCTTGCAATGATCAACAACCAACTTGACAGAGCTTGAAGTATTTTTTAAATAATAATGTGCAAATATTGTACAATCCAGGTGTGCAAAGCTCTTAGAGACTTACCCAGAAAGACTGACATCTGTAATCTCTGCCAGAGGTGATGCTAACATGTATTGACTCAGGGGTATTTCTGTATTTCATTTTCCAATTAATCAGTACAAATTTCTAAAAACATGTTTTCACTTTGTCATTATGGGGCATGTGTGTAAAAAATAATCAATTTAGAATTCGGGCTGTAACACAACAAAATGTGGAATAGGTCAAGGGGTATGAAAACTTTCTGAAGGCACTGTATGTAGACACTGGTATGGTTCTGGAGATAATTCATATCACGTTAAAAAGTGGTGGAATTACAGAATTGTCATTGGGGTATTTAGGGATCATAAATTATGGCCCTGAAACTCTCACCACACATCTTTGTAAGATCTTGATTAACTGTCCCATCAAACCTGCCTGATGACCCAGTCTACCATCAAACACCCTGCAACCCAATTTGTGACAAGTTGATTAATGAAATAAAATGAAAATGTTTGATAGAAAGAAATTAAATCCCTCAAACGAGGTTATGGTGAGTATTTTCGTAATGTCAACATGCCATCATAAAGGACTATTATTTAGGCTAGGCTAGGCTAGGCTATTGAGATCTAAGCCTAATGCTCAAAGTTTTCGCTATCAATTAGCAAGTTCAACTCTCAGTGGGTGCTCTAGTGATGAGGTAAATTATCCGCTTATAAATGCTAGCGTGTGTACGTGTGTACGTGCGAGCTAGCGTGCGTTCGGTGTGTGTATGTGTCTCATTCTCCGTCTGTGTTAACAGGTGATGTACACTAGATGGCGCAATGCGGTTATAATTCTGCAACTGAGCTGTGAAATAATTTAATCAACGGGGATACTTAGTCGATTTAATGAAAAATAAATACTTTATATAACATTCCTTATGCTGCAATATGTCTTGAGGATCATATTGACAGCTACTGCACCTGAGCCGAGCAAAAAATGATAACTTGAAGGCAGAGTAGATGCTCTGGACTTACAGTTAAAGTGAGTGCATACATTTTTCATACCGGCCCCCCGTGGGAATCAAACCCACAACCCTGGCGTTGCAAGCGCCATGCTCTGCCAACTGAGCTACAGGAGGGCCTAATAAAATAAAATAAAATAAAAATAATAATAATAATAATAATAATAATAATAATAATAATAATAATAATAATAATAATAATAATAATAAAGCTGAGGTAGGCCTACAAAGTGGTTACAGGTTGTTTTTGCATGTAACTATTGCAATCAACTCCTTAAAAAGTTAATATTTTATATAAAATAAAAGGGCATAGCACATGAATAGCCCGTTTCTCACAGCATACACAGGCTTACACATGCCTGAAAAAAAATCCTCTTTGAATCCCATTATTTACCATTGTAATTAGGACCATAGCCCCAGGTAGGACAGGTGTTGGTTGAGGCATTAGGATAACATGCACACATGTCACACCTCACCAGCCCATTGTCTTCTCATGAAGAAAACAATTATTCCCAACTTCATGGAGCTAAAACGAGCATCATTGTTATTTTTTCAGGGAATCAGAAAAATGTTACCTTTTGAAAATAGATCGGCCTATCCAAATAACACATCGATCTATGTGCCCCGTGTAGCTCAGTTGGTAGAGCATGGCGCTTGCAACGCCAGGGTTGTGGGTTCTTCCCCCACGGGGGGCCAGTATGAAAAAATGTATACACTCACTAACTGTAAGTCGCTCTGGTTAAGAGCGTCTGCTAAATGACTAAAATGTAAATGTTGTATGTGGTCAAATATGAACGTTGATTGATAGATTTCTAGATTCAATTAATTACACATAATCCAATTACGCATTTGTCCAAATGTCCTCTCCTAAAACGCACGGATTTGGCCAACCCTGTAGAGGTAATTAAATGGCCATGTTGTTATTCTTTGACTCGTTAAGACAGGTTTCCGATTTCAAGTGTCTCACCTTACACATACGAGCTGCCACATTCGTCTTCATGTCGGTTAAGTTTTATTGCGGCCGCTAGAGGTGGATGCAAAAACTTGGTCCTGGCTGGGTGGGATGGACTCATTGGATGGACAACAAGCTTCAACACATTTTCCAGAAACGTTAAGCGCTGTGGTAACGAGTGGCAACGGGTGCTATTATATAGTCTACTGATTTCCTCGACATCACTCAAAGGGGTTGTTATCTTTCTATTCAATGAAGGTGTTGGGCTTTTTCGACTTTTATGGGCGTACCTGCATGCTATTGTGTATAAGTGGAGTTAAGGTGCGAGAGAAGGTCACAATTCCACATTTGATGCGCCTACTTTGAAACATGTGACAGTGAGACATTGGATTTAAGTGGAGGACTGGAGAAAACTGGGACCTCACGCCGAAGAGAAGGGACAGCTCCACAGCATAGATTGATGTGAGACTTCAAAGAACATCATTGCAGGCAGGCGTTCTCCTAAAAAGTGATGTGACATAGTAACCTTTATGTTATACTGCAAGAAAACATTCAGAAATTGTGATATTTGCATTAAAATGGAGATAAACTTTATACACGAGTAACAACTGTATACCTGTGTAACATCCTCATCAAAAACATCCTTGTAAGATGAGAGCCTTCATTCCTTTGAACCGGGCCACATTTGGACTTTTATGGAGCTGCTTGAGTTTTCTACACTGCGTTCATTGTGGTTTAGGCGACAACCATGTGCATTCTAGTTTTATTTACAGGAGATTGCGTAACCATGAACGGAGAGAGATTCAAAGAGAGATTCTCTCTATTTTGGGTTTACCACATCGTCCAAGGCCCTTTTCTCCTGGAAAACAAGCATCCTCAGCACCCCTGTTCATGCTTGACCTGTACAATGCCATGACTACTGAGGAGGAAGAAGGATTGGGAATACAAGAGGTTACAGGGAAAGGTTTCAGCGGGAAGGCTCACGGAAACTCGCGTAAAGGTTACTACGGCTATCCGCAGGGATACACTCGTGTGGCGCAACCTTACCGCGCGGCCCCTCTGACGAGCCAAAGCCCTCCACTCACTACATCTCACGACACCAACTTTCTCAACGATGCTGATATGATTATGAGCTTTGTCAACTTAGGTAAGTAAGTGAATTGACTTGAGAAAAGTTTCAAGCTGCCTGATTTATGCCATGCGCTCCAGCACCAAAAAAATCCAAAATATTGTGGCCACTAATAAACCACAGTATTTTAAGCCTTAGAATTGTCACATGACCTTCTCACTACTAATATATAAAGGTTTAGATTTGTTTATATATTATATTATTTTATGTATATTGTCCATGTACAATTTCCTTCAGTGCTGGAAACATACGCTTAGACCATGTTTTTATATATAAAAAATACCAGATAGATTCGTCAAAATGTAAATTTAACAACCTTGATTATATTAAAATTAATGATTATTTGTTTTTCTTCAATTTGATCTAAATCATTAGACTACAATAAAAACCCTAAACATGTTAAACAAATGTTTCCACAGTAGCCTATGTAAGCCTATTCATTTTGTTGCAGAAAATGATGATATTCAATTACATTTCCAATTAATAAAAGTTATAGGCTATCCCTATAGTAGCAGGCCTTCATTTCCCGTTTGTCACCTATAGCAAGAACAGTGGCACACTGCTCACAAATATGTTTGCAAATTCTCTTCAAAGGTCACAGTGCTGTTTGTCTGAATGCTGCACATTTCATGATACTGTTGTTGATGTTTGAAGTCTTTTTCGTTTTCAATATCAGATTCTATTTCAGACTTTGAGATGCCTGATATTAATACAGGACCATATTTACACGTTAAAACAGCGGTAAAAGCACAAACAATCCACATTTTGAAGACCATATCCATGCTCTTTGAATAAGGTTTGAATAAGCAAAAAAGCTGTTTGTATGGACATTCTTGAAATTCTCAACTCTAAGGAGATCTTAAAATATTAAACTGCAATATCATCATGTCATACTTCCCCTAAAATACATGACTTTTCTCTTAAACCTTCATATTTGATTTACCTAGGAAACAGGCCATGTATTTTGAATAAATAGATGTTTATCAAAATACTTCATATGGAGTATTTATATGTTTTGAAATTGTCAACATTTATTGTAGCGTAAAGAAAGGCTTTCTGATAAGAATGATTTGCACTATGTTTCATCAGTAGCTCTAACCTTTGACCCAGAAGTTCATAATAACTTATCAGATGACTGTCTGACCTTGGTTAAATTGACCTTAATTATTTCCTGTTGTTAAAGAAAGGAAAGCGATTGAGTGAGGCCTGCGCTTTTTCAGCACTTATTCCTCATGGCACTGGGTTTGGGCAGTTATATGTAAAAGCAGTAGCATTGTTCATTCGTCTTTGTGTCATTTTTCATTAAACATTACGTCCCAATGGAGAGTGAAATATATATTTAAGGGCTAGTACACCAGCAGTAAAAAACAATAAAGTCTAAGATCTGTTGTTAGGGAGCTAGTGAAATGTTATACTTGCTGACATGTGCCATTATGATAAACAGAAACGACAGTTACAGAGGACACATCTTACAAAAAAGAGGCTTATAAGAGATATAGCATGAGCATGTCAAATATATGGGTGTGAAGGTGCCGTTTGATTTAAAATCCCTCACCTTGGTCAGTCCCATCTGTTTCCAATTAGAGCTGCATGGCATGTACACAGTCAGCCTTGAAAGCTCTGTGCTCTCATTCTGGGGACAGTCAGTGGTAAAGTGTTCAATGAAACTATTTACACAAGTATTACTACTACAGCAATAATTGACTTCACTACACTAATGCTACCACTAACTCCTATAATACTAATAGTGGTAGCATAGAAGAATGTTGTGATTATTATTGATTATTAGATCATTTATGTGAGGTATTCAGAAAAATGCATATTCACTCTTGTCGACATTACGATGAAAAATTATACAAAAGATGTATACTTTCTCTACTTCCTCTTCTTCCAAATTGACATCAAAAATGAATTCCATAAACAAAGTTAATTCACTAAAACTGTGGCAGACACTTTTTAGTGAGTCAAACCACCCTCCCAATTAATCTGCAGCTATCTGACACTTGAAATGCTTGATATACTCAACTTCACTTCTGCTTCACATTACTACCCATAGCTAATCATGGTGCAAGCCCAATCTGTAACTGGCAGACCTGACCCCTGACCTGTGTGTGTTAAGCAACCACAGACTTTCACTGTAGATAAACTATCAGTGAAATGGACTCACTGACTCTATGATTTCACTGGCTGTGCCAGAACACTAACACACCTCAACCCCAATCCTTTTATGCTGCTATTTAGCAACAGTGTTGGATGGTTAGCTGTCACTTTGTGTCTTCTTGACTGCATAATGGCATGCCTTTGATTGCAGACAGGGTTGAAAATGCACTCTGCTTGTCTTTGCTCTTCTTTGTTTGTGTTTGTATTGATAAGTTCTGTATATTTTGTTATGTGCACTTTTTATATTCAGTATAAACTCATTCATCATCAAACAAGTTAAAACAAATTGGTCAGAGAAAGATAAATATAGGTTTCACGGCCAATGTATTGTATAGGAACAACAGGAGGTCAACATTAGGTTGGCAAATGAGGTCAAAGCAGTCACTCAAATCTTGTCAAAAAAGGCTGTCTGGTCTCTTTTTGTCACGTTGAAGGGCAGACGAAAGTGTCTTTAATTGAAATCAGCCTGTTTTTCTTAACTGACAGCCCATTCATCATGGGCAGAGAATGCAGTTCTGCACACAGTGGAGGGCCTGTCTGGAAACTGCTACCTGTACTCACTTGACTGATTAAATGGACTGGAGAGTGCTTTTGTTGGAGTCAAAATGTTTGGATTGGCTTTTGGAATGTGAAAACATTTGATAAATTACCTTTTTTTTCAGTTAGGTAGGTTAATGCTGGCTCACCACATTCTGTCTGTGCAACACATTTTGTATCTATTGTGGCTCAGGGAAGGTATCTGTAATATTAGTCACTGATCTGAATAAGGTTTTTGCATTGCCTCTCTAAATATTATGCAGTTATGCAAATCCTCTATTTAGTCCTCATGGACCAGCCTGTCTTCTTTTTCAGTGGAGAAAGACAAAGATTTCTCCCATCAGCGAAGACACTTCAAGGAGTTCCGTTTCGACCTGACTCAGATCCCGGAGGGAGAGGCGGTGACTGCTGCTGAGTTTCGGATCTATAAAGATGGCAGTCATGCCCGCTTTGAGAACGTTACCCTGAAGGTCACCATCCACCAGGTCATCAAGGAATATCAAAACAAGTAAGCACCAGCTGACCTTCATTTCAACCCGCCAAATCATCCCAATTAAATTTTTTATATATAAAGTACATCATCACCTTGTAAATTCTTGTGAAATTTGATTTGAAATGGGATAGAAATTCAGCCATGGGCATTTAAAGTCTCTCTGAAGGAACATAATATATTGAAGGTTACCTATAGAATAAGATGACCTGTATATTCTTTATGTTCCACAAGGTTGTTTTCTCTAAAACAGTACTATATACTGTAGAGTATCCTTGACATCCAGTTTTACACCTCTTTAGAATGTCACTGTAAATTTTGTCTAAATCAAACTATGTTATGAACTTTGTATGTAATTGATCATTCTATGGTTTAGAGTGGTGGATTCCTCAATCAAAAACCTATACGAAGGGAAGGGAAAGCACATCTTATTCTGTTTAACTGAGAGGAACCAGTCATCTCAAATGTCCCCTATTATTGTTTATAGGCATCCTGAATCCCTGTACATAAAAGGTGCAGCCATGTGAGTTTACAAACCAGTTTGCCTTGTTCTACCCTGGCCTTATTGCCAGATAGAGAACCACAATGGTTGCTGATTTGGGTTTTTATGCGGGATATTTTGAGAATGGAAGAACTCTTTATCATATGTGAGATGTAGTCTCTCAGTGATATGGCTGTAAATGTATTTTCAAATTAATGGATGAATAAATCAATTAATGATTTAATTAATTAATTATTTCATCAATACGTAAATTAGCCAATCAATTAACCAATCAATCAACCAACCAATCTACGAATCACCATAGCATGAGAGGGAACCTAACACATTGTGAAATTGAACACAGTTTAAAGGGGCAGTCAGCAGTTGCTACAACCATTTTTGGACTTATAAATTAATTTTGTGTACCTATTGATTCTTGAAGAATATAACTTATAAATGCCTAATGAGCTTAGTTCAAATGTCATAACCTATCAGAACCCACAATATACAGTGAGGGAAAAAAGTATTTGATCCCCTGCTGATTTTGTACATTTGCCCACTGACAAAGAAATGATCAGTCTATAATTTTAATGGTAGGTTTATTTGAACGGTGCGAGACAGAATAACAACAAAAAAAATCCAGAAAAACGCATGTCAAAAATGTTATAAATTGATTTGCATTTTAATGAGGGAAATAAGTATTTGACCCCTCTGCAAAACATTACTTAGTACTTGGTGGCAAAACCCTTGTTGGCAATCACAGAGGTCAGACGTTTCTTGTAGTTGGCCACCAGGTCTGCACACATCTCAGGAGGGATTTTGTCCCACTCCTCTTTGCAGATCTTCTCCAAGTCATTAAGGTTTCAAGGCTGATGTTTGGCAACTTGAACCTTCAGCTCCCTCCACAGATTTTCTATGGGATTAAGGTCTGGAGACTGGCTAGGCCACTCCAGGACCTTAATGTGCTTCTTCTTGAGCCACTCCTTTGTTGCCTTGGCCGTGTGTTTTGGGTCATTGTCATACTGGAATACCCATCCACGACCCATTTTCAATGCCCTGGCTGAGGGAAGGAGGTTCTCACCCAAGATTTGACTGTACATGGCCCCGTCCATCGTCCCTTTGATGCGTTGAAGTTGTCCTGTCCCCTTAGCAGAAACCCCCACCCCCAAAGCATAATGTTTCCACCTCCATGTTTGACGGTGGGGATGGTGTTCTTCGGGTCATAGGCAGCATTCCTCCTCCTCCAAACACGGCGAGTTGAGTTGATGCCAAAGAGCTCAGTTTTGGTCTCATCTGACCACAACACTTTCACCCAGTTCTCCTCTGAATCGTTCAGATGTTCATTGGCAAACTTCAGACGGGCATGTATATGTGCTTTCTTGAGCAGGGGGACCTTGCGGGCACTGCAGGATTTCAGTCCTTCACGGTGTAGTGTGTTACCAATTGTTTTCTTGGTGACTATGGTCCCAGCTGCCTTGAGATCATTCACAAGATCCTCCCGTGTAGTTCTGGGCTGATTCCTCACCATTCTCATGATCATTGCAACTCCACTAGGTGAGATCTTGCATGGAGCCCCAGGCCGAGGGACATTGACAGTCTTTTGTGTTTCTTCCATTTGCGAATAATCGCAACAACTGTTGTCACCTTCTCACCAAGCTGCTTGGCCATGGTCTTGTAGCCCATTCCAGCCTTGTGTAGGTATACAATCTTGTCCCAGACATCCTTGGAGAGCTCTTTGGTCTTGGCCATGGTGGAGAGTTTTGAATCTGATTGATTGATTGCTTCTGTGGATAGGTGTCTTTTATACAGGTAACAAGCTGAGATTAGGAGCACTCCCTTTAAGAGTGTGCTCCTAATCTCAGCTCTTTACCTGTATAAAAGACACCTGGGAGCCAGAAATCTTTCTGATTGAGAGGAGGTCAAATAGGAGGGAGCTGAAGGTTCGAGTTGCCAAACGTCAGCCTGGAAACCTTAATGACTTGGAGAAGATCTGCAAAGAGGAGTGGGACAAAATCCCTCCTGAGATGTGTGTAAACCTGGTGGCCAACTACAAGAAACGTCTGTACTCTGTGATTGCCAAGAAGGGTTTTGCCACCAAGTACTAAGTCATGTTTTGCAGAGGGGTCAAATACTTATTTCACTCATTAAAATGCAAATCAATTGATAACATTTTTGACATGCGTTTTTTCTGGATTTGTTTGTTGTTATTCTGTCTCTCACTGTTCAAATAAACCTACCATTAAAATTATAGACTGATCATTTCTTTGTCAGTGGGCAAATGTACTAAATCAGCAGGGGATCAAATACTTTTTTCCCTCACTGTAAGCTTCTCTTATTCTAATGTCTGTAAACAAAGTAAATGTAAACAAACATATATATATATATATATATATATATATAGCCTCAAAACATGGTTAGAACTATAATTTTGATATCATGGATGTTCTTGCATCCATAGCTCTGTCTATGAATTTGAGAGTTCTCCAGCCCATCCCTCAGCTTTTTACCGAAACAGAGGCGGAGATACCGCTTTGTTATTGTTTCTCCTTCTGATTGCCACTTTTAAAAAAACAATTATTATTAATATAAAAACATTTTTTTGGGGGTGGGGGGTAGATCAGCTTTAATATTGCAGATAGATTGTGGCTTCCATCAATGTAATTGTCTGCATAATTTCCAATCCCCCATATATTTGTTTTGTGTATATATATATTAAAAATATATATATATATATATATATATATTCCTTTATTAGTTTCCCCTAACCCTACCACCCCTCCCCCAATTGGAGTAAACTAATGGACAACAACACTTAGGCTTCTGCTTCCAGCTTATTATTTTACGGACACATTATATTTTACAATAGTAATCTTTTGTTTGTTTTTAGTCCCATCCTTCAGCTCCACTCTGATTGCCACTTTAAATTAGCTTCAAATTTGAAAGTGGCTGTCTTTAGATAACATTGTCTAAAGTTGAGCATCTGCCCTTGGGGACATGCTTGTGTCAGCTTAATCCTAGGGAGGCTTTCAAATGTCCCTTTAAAACCTGCACGGTCTGGGAAACACTTGAGGCAGGCAATTAGGCATAAAATAAAGGACATCCTGTTTACACTAGCACATCATGGAAGTTTGGAAGGACTTTATACTGATTAATGTGCTTATTTCAAGTGTCTTCAAGAAGGCCATTTGTCTCCTTTGAATTATCAAATCATGATCTGATATGCACATTTTGGCGATAGATTGATATTGCAGAGAACGAAGTGGCACAAAGTAAGCAGAAATGCCACAAAATGGAAGCTTGTCACAAATATATTATAATTTAGAAGCTTAACTATACTTTTGTGTTATCTTAACTTTGATTCCAAATGGGGGAGAAAATCTAGAAGTTTCTAGATATTCTGCCCTATTTACATTTACATTTACATTTTAGTCATTTAGCAGACACTTTTTATTAACTAAAAACATCCATTGTGCTGTTTATCTTATATGTCTTCTATGGAAATCAGAGTGGTAGCTGTGGTAAACACAGTCAGTAGCCTACACAGCTTGGTGTATGATGAAACAATCCTTTAAAATGAAACAAACAAGAAAGGAGGCAATAAGGCTGTATACAGGCAGCCCAAATCTGATATTTTGCCCAATTATTGACAAAAGATCAGAATTGGGCTGCCTGTGTAAACAGACTCAGCAACATGGTTAGGCATACATTCTGGTCCAAATATGTTTTTCCTTTGATTAAGACCAAACATACCTTTTTACTTTATTTGCATTTGGGCATGAATAATATGTTTTCAATAAGATATTGAAACTTTGGAACAAACGTTTGCACATGTTAACTAAATAAATCGATTTCAACAATGAATTCTACAGTTTATCTTTGCCTGGTCTACAAGTGTTCTATATTCAGTGCTTGACTTGGGCAGGAGCTCACCGGAGCTGAGTACCGGCACCTAAAATGTTATATTGCTTGGGCTCCTGTTCCTCTTATAGAATATTAGCTCAAAAGTATTGTGGAGCTCCTGCACCAAAATATAAACAGTACCGACACCCAAAATGAGTACCGGAACCTATTTCACTCCAAGTCAAGCACTGTCTATATTGCTCTCCTTTCATCTGACTGACTATTTGTGAACCTCATCCTTGTATCTCCAACCTTGTTCCGCCTCATTCTCACCACACCAGGCCCTTACAAATATAGTCCACGGATAAAGCTTTTCCATTAGCAAGTTCACCACTTGTGAAGCCTCGGAAGTCCATCAGTTATCACTCCTCCTGGTCTATGTGTTGCCTGTCAGGCGGCTTGTTGCATCCCAGTTCAGTAGAAGCCATGTGGGCCCATTAGGGGCTGCCTAGGGGGTTCCCATGGTAACCCTCATGCCCACCTGCTTCTCTTAACAATGTTCCGGAAGTTGGAAGCCGTGACATAGCTGAACACACAGGGGTCTACTTAAAGCAGGGCCCACATTCACTGGCCAAATATGTGTGCGGGTGATTGAAGGGGAGATATGACCCTCTTGGGCTTTTCTGGAGGTCCTAGTCATTGAACTCTCCCATCTGAAGCCCCAGGCCACAGCCATCGCGTTCTCTTTTATGGCTCACCGAGGTCTGGAGCCATCACACATTTAGCTCCTCAGCTCCTAACTGTGACTTTTCGGCTTGATAAACATTATTCAGAGTTTCACAGTTCAGCACCCTTTTCTCTGCTCCTCCCCCAAGGAGCTATCATTAAGCTGGTGTTGAACTGCTCAGCAGCTCAGCCAAATATGATTTAAAATGGGTGGTAGAGTAAAGACAAATGTGTTACTTAAATGTTTTTTTCACTGCTTGGCAATTATGGCCTTGAGTACGTGACTGGTTGATTAATATCCAACTTATCCATATTTTGTGCGGTTGTGAAAACAGATTGTCTCTAATCCGGCTAAAGAGTCACTAGGCACTCCTTTGAGAGAGGAGTATTTTTCAGAGGAATTTACTTCAAAATATGGGGCTCAAAGGATAGAGCACATGGAACAACACATTTAAATAGTAAGATACATTTTTGTCAAAGGATGTTTTTGGCTCAGATCTAAGAGAGAACGCTGGAATAAATTGCATCCTGTAGTGATTATTCAATGATACTTTGTTTGTGTAATGATTTCCAATATGGCAGGTCAGGGCCTCATTAATTGTTTGACTGCTTCCAAGTCTAAACGACCCAGAGGAAGCATGTGTTCTCTCTTTGTGTGGCCCATGCAAGTTTTAACAACATTAAAGTGGATAAACAGGAATTTCATGATTAGTTCCAGAGCTGAAAGAGGAGAGTAAGATCCATCAATTATATCACCCCTGTGTTAAATATTTTTTATCCAGTAAATCAAAGTTTACTCATAGTAATGTATGTGCATTGCCATGTGTCAAGTTATCACATGCATTCACCTGTTATTTTTTATCGATTTTATATACTTTTTTTCCTTAACAGGGATGCAGAGACATTCTTGTTGGATTCCAAAAAGATCAAGGCCTCTGATGGGGGCTGGCTGGTCTTTGACATCACAGCCACCAGTAACCACTGGGTGCTGAACCCACTGCAGAACATGGGTCTGCAGCTCTCTGTGGAGACTTTGGATGGTAAGGGAAGCAGTATTTTTAATCCGCCTTTGTTGTTGCAGGGAATTAAATATAGAAAAGCAATTAACCTCTACGGGATCGGTGTCCCATATATGGGATGGTTGAGCTAACGTGCGCTAATGTGATTAGCATGACTGTTGTAAGAGCAAACTTTCCAGGACATAGACATGTCTTATATGGGCAGAAAGCTTAAATTATTGTTAACCTAACTGCACTGTCCAATTTACAGTAGCTATTACAGTGAGAAAATACCATGCTATTGTTTGAGGAGAGTGCACAACAACAACAAATGTATCACGGCAACTGGTTTGATACATTCACCTCTGAAGGTAAATCATGTACTTATATTCAGTAATCTTGCTCTGATTTGTCATCCTGAGGGTCCCAGAGATAAAATGTAGCATAGTTTTGTTTGATAAAATCCATTTTTATATTAAAATGTAGGAACTGGGTTCTATAGTTTGAACCTCTGCTGTCTCTGGCACCACACCCACCCGGCCCGGCCATCTAGATGTGTGAAAGTTAGTGTATAAGCTAATGATCCATCATGTATGACATTTCCTGGGAGTGTGTAAACTTACATTTTGTATTACCATATCATTTTTGTATGTTCTGTATAGTTATGTACTTGAAAATGTATCAATTGACCAATTTGGCACATTTGGGCAGACTTGACACAAAATAGTCCAGTATTGCAATGCTTCACTGGATCAATCTGAAACTTTGCACACACACTAAACTCTAAATTGCGCCTAAACTGCAATATTATATTGTGGCCTTTCTCTTGCATTTCAAAGATGATGAAAAAAAAAAAAATAGAAACGCATGTTATTTTGTTTGTATTATCTTTTACCAGATCTAATGTGTAATATTCTCCTACATTAATTTAACATTTCCACAAACGTCAAAGTGTTTCCTTTCAAATGGAGTATGAAAAATGTATGCACTCACTAACGATTGTGGAAATTTGGGTATGTCATTTTAGGCGAAAATTGAAAAAAAGAGTCTGATCCTTAAGAGGTTAAACATTGTAGTTACCTCAGGCTTCAAAAGTAGTTTGCCTTGAAATGATTTTAGTCATTCAGTAGACACTCTTATCCAGATAAGGAACAACCAACCTTGGTCAAGCCAGGAATTGACTTTGCATACAGATTGGAAAGAGCAATATCCATCAAAACAATGTAGGCCAGGGCTGTTCAATGTCAGTCCTGGAGGGCCGAAAAACATCTGGCCAAATCTGCTGTGAGCTGCCAACTGTAGCCAGTGAAAGTGCTGAGAAATGGGGTGACATTCTGGATAAACTGTCATTATACTAGATGAGCGGCACAGCTCTGATGGCACGAGCGGGGAGCCAGACTAGGAGAGAGTTGCAGTAATCCAAGCAAGATGATGAGTGACTGGTCTAGGAGCTGTATTTAATAGCTTGTGAGGAATGAGTAGATATTCACTGATACCTTAGAGTAGGGTTCCCCAATAGGCGGCCTGTGTGCCAAATTCTGCCCGTGGGTGATTTTAGACTGTAAAATCACCAGGAAATTAGGTCAAAGTGATGTTAATTTAGGAAATCTGTTCCCAAGTATTCCAACGCATAAATAGAGGCATATGTGATCGTATTCCAATGTAATCAAGGTTTGAAATTATTCTGTTTTTGTCAAATACTATATATTTTTGGGATTCTTGCGGTCAATTTGCAGTGTACAAATTATTGATATGTTCCGGCCCCTGACCAGCCGCTCAAGGAAAAATCTGCACACGGCTGAATGTAATTGGGGACCCCTGCTTTAGAGGCAGTCTCTACCGGACAGAGTCATTGATGTTCTCTGTGAAAGACAGAGAAAGCTGGTCTTCAAGGTCACACCCAGGTTCTTTGCCGTCTTGGAGGGAGACACAGCTGTCCATAGAGGAGAGGTCAGGTCTGTGTTGTCAAGGTTTGAGGTTGAGATGTTGATGTTTACCAGACATGAAGAGATACATACCATATCATAACCTGTGTGTCAGACGAGAGAAGGACAGACAGCGCTGTGTGCCCTATGCATAGCAAAGGTAGGATAAGCCCTGTGAAAAGAAAACAGAGCCCAGTGACTGACTGGGAGATCAACAGTGGAAGGAGAACTGAGCCCAGGGGAACACCTGTTGCTTGGCTTCATGGTGAGGACAGAACCTTTTCATGTCACGTAGTAGGAGTGATCATCCTGAGATGCCCATCCCTCATAGAGGTGGGGCTTCAGAGCAGGATCTGATATTTCACGTGTCAAAAGCAACTGAGGATAGAGAGCTTATACGATGAAGGCAGTTTTAGTTAATTTGTTCTTTTTTTAAAGAATAATGTTCATGTTACAACGTTTGTTTGGAAAATAATGCATGCTCACTATCATAAATTGAGCCATAATCACTGCATCTAAGATTGGAGAAACATCAAATGTTTTTCATTTTTTTCATTTGGTAGAAGTTTTTTGTGTGTGTGGGGAAATGAGGAAAACAGTTCAAAACCCAAAGGAGTACCTGACTGTTTTAACAATTATGACAAGAATACTATGAAGACGGATATTTGGTATCTTCTTTAAAACCACAAGACATTGATGAAATGTTCTTTGGGATGATCTATGAATTAGAGACATTAGCTTAGGTTAAATTATGAATGGAATAGCGGTCATATAGCAGTTGTACAATATCATACAAATTGGTGACGTATAGTATCATACGTCTTACCCGGTCATAACATATAATACGAATTGGAAAACAGAAATTATCATACGTCTTTGCTCATATCAACAATGCAAGCTTACATTAATATATTATACTGACACCATTTTACCCAATTTTGGCTTGTGCAATTGCTCCCCTATATCGTATCTAATTATGCTTCTGTTTGCTGCTATTCACATTGCTTGTTGTTTTAAAAGGACGGAGTATAAACATGAAGTCTGCTGGCATCGTTGGAAGGAATGGGCCACAATCCAAACAGCCATTCCTAGTGTCATTCTTCAAGGCCAGTGAAGTGTTGCTGCGCTCTGTCAGGGCCGCTGGTGGAAAGAGAAAGAATCACAATCGCAACAAATCAGGTGGTCAACAGGAATCATCACGGGCACCCAAAACTGGAGGTGGGCTTATTAAACTACACTCTCAGAAAAAAAAGTACAGAATTGTACTTAAAGGGGTACAAACGCTTGCCACTGTAGTGGTACCCTGTAAGGTACGTCCATTGTACCATTAGTTATAGGTAAATAATTGTACCCTTGCAGTTTGTACCTTAAAAGAGCCAAAAGGTAGCATTTGCCTTTTTAGGGTACCACCACAGTGACAAAGCCGTTTGTTCCTTTTAAGTGGCAAAAATGTACTTGTTTTCTATAACAAGGCCCTCACGTGTACACGTCTCTCCACCCACCTCTGACACAATTGTAGCTAATTCAGGGGGTAGCCTGACCAGGACTCAAACATGAATCCAGCAACTGTCAAGCCAACACCTTAACCATTACACCACGAGGTCCGTACCACTTGACAAGGTCACTCAGTGTAGGGTTAATATTAATTACAGCTCCTTTAATAATATAATAATAATAATAATAATATGCCATTTAGCAGACGCTTTTATCCAAAGCGACTTACAGTCATGCGTGCATACATTTTTGTGTATGGGTGGTCCCGGGGATCGAACCCACTACCTTGGCGTTACAAGCGCCGTGCTCTACCAGTTGAGCTACAGAGGACCTTTATTGTCACATGCTCATATGTAAGCCTTTATAAAGACTTCAGAACTGGCAGCAGACACACTCAAACTTTAATTAACATAACCATAGACCACTTAAACTGGTACAGCACTTCCACTCACAGGTGGCCCAAAATAACTATCTGAAAGCCACGACCCCAATAAGCCACACCTCCAATGATTGTACTTTTATATTCAAAATATTGGGTACAAAAATGTAGCATTATCTGCACATGTACCCTAAAAAGTGCCGAACAGTACCATGTGAGATCAAATGTGTACCTCTGAAGGTACATTATGTGTATTTTGATATTTTGTACCACAGGAAACAATACTGTACCTTAACTGTATCCTTGTTTTCTGAGAGTGAACCATAATTGACATTGTTTTGGGTTTGGACTGGAGTAAGTTGGCAATTTAACTTCAGATAATGAAACTCCTTACAGTCCCATTTGTTATTCCCTGTTAGTGCATTAAAACAGTATGTTACACACTCCAGGATGTTATGTCTACTCAAGCAGCCTCTTGTTGCCAAGGAGCCTTGTTTTGGCTGCATGCTGTTCCAATTCATGGATCAAACGTCTTAATAATCAACTGCAGTATACATGTAGCTCCGGGATGGGCAACTCCAGTCCTCAGGGGCCCGATTGGTGTCACGCTTTTGCCACAGCCAACACACCTGACTCCAATATTCAACTTATCATGATCTTCAGTTTAGAATGCAATTAGTTTAATCAGCTGTGTTTTCTAGGGATGGGGGAAATGTGTGACACCACTTCAGCCCCGAGGACTGAAGCTGCCCATCCCTGATGTAGATCGATATAAAAGAGATACATTTTCAAAATAGTAAACCTACCTGCCTAATCTATGACCTCTTTCAGCTCCTCATGAAGATGGCACATGGATATGAATATGTACTAATACAACTACTCTAGCTAAACTACACACAACATCCACAATGACCATCTTAATTAATTATTTTAATTTGGTTGTAATTGCATAGAAGTCTTTGTGCACTTGCTTCAGCTTGGCATCTGTTTTTAACTGATGTGGTTCAGAGCATTAGGGATACCCAGTCAACACCCATTCAGTGGCCACATGAATGTAATAACCATAAATGAGTTGGTGCTGCCATTTGCTGTTAACAGTTTGTTAATATTTCATGAATAATTGATTTGGTGTACATTTCCTATTGTCCAAAAATAATTGTACTGTGGGCAAACAATATACCACAGTGCTCACATGTGCTCAATGAAAGAAAAACCCCATGTCTTCTGTATACAACTACAGTATATAATAGCCTAATGATAAACTTGCAGACTTGAGAGATTAATTAATTATTTGTTGTTTTCAGATCATAACACCAGTGAGCAAAAACAAGCCTGCAAGAAGCATGAACTTTACGTCAGCTTCCGAGACTTAGGATGGCAGGTAGGAAAGATGGAACACTATTTGAACCATATTATATCTACTCTACATAAGCATGGTCATAACATGTGTGTTACAAATATGTGTGTGTAAAAAGCACCTCTTTTAGTTTCAACCATGGTATTAAATGCAGTAGACAAGAAACAGACAGACAATATGACAGACTTAAGAAAACACATCAAGTGTCAATGAAGTGTCTTCAATATTTAAAGAGGAGCACTTTGAGGCTTATTTTGTATTTTCTTTATTCTATTTGAAGGACTGGATTATTGCACCGGAAGGCTATGCTGCTTTTTACTGCGATGGGGAATGTTCCTTTCCACTCAATGCACATATGAATGCGACAAATCACGCCATTGTGCAAACCCTGGTATGTGCAAACCCTCACAAGTTGCTTATTTCCCATGAATTCATATTGAATTGCTTTACCAATATGGTAATAATTAATTCCACACCATATGGATTTTCTGAGCTGCTCAAACTGCAGCTTTGATGCTATCTGGGTCATTTCACCAATTCAGTGCCTTTTGAGAAGGGTAACTTGTTAAAAATTTAAAAATAAATTGATTTCACCTAATTTGAATATTCTGTCATAAAGAGTTCAACTTAATAAAAAACAAGTTTAACAAGTTTTACCAGCTCAAGAGGTGAAAAAAGTAAATTACTATAGTAAGTGCCAATTAAGTACCAAATAAAGTAACAGGGTTGACCGTAACAGGGTTGACTTTGTTAAAGCCACATAATAACTAGGGCTTTACAACGATGGTGAAAACCTGGAGACATTTTGGGGTTAAGTGGGTTAAAATCTTCCTAGAAGTCACAGAGGGTGCACGGAGAGACATGTCAAAATGCAGAATGTTGGCACTTAAGCAAGTCTTCATTAAAGGGCACTTCATTTAATATAACAGAATTTTTAAAATCAATATTGGTGCACAATTTCTACTTAAAATATCAAAAGGGATGCAAAAGGCACTATTTCCACGGGAATTACCCATCTCCTTTGTATACTCAGTCCTTTCTATTTGCTTCCACAGGTCCATCTGATGTTCCCTGACAATGTGCCAAAGCCATGTTGTGCACCGACCAAGCTGAACGCTATATCTGTGCTTTACTTTGATGACAGCTCAAATGTCATCCTCAAGAAATACAGAAACATGGTTGTTAGGTCATGTGGTTGCCATTAATGGGCAAGCGGGATTGTATTTCAGATATGTGGTATTGCTGGAAAAGTTCATATCAATATAGATAGATCTGAGGTGTGATGTGCTGTACAGTATTATGTATATATTAGTTTTATTAACTTATTTATTTCCCCCTATTTTTGTGATAACACTCAATATTGTACAATTAATATTAGTCCATGTATATTTGACATCACTTAGCACTCTCTCCTATAGGCCATAGCGAACATATACAATTACATTGCAATAGTTATAGCATTTCATTGTACATCTTAGTAAAAGGAAACCTCTAGGTACAATATCGATCTATTGGATCTTATTGTTATTGGATACGGTTCAACAATGTATACCAATTTTTCCAACATATTGTTTTATTCAAGCACACTGTTTTTCAAACTGTTACATTGGATTTCATTTTCAAACCATTGTTTTAAACCATTCTAACCACTCAAAAAAGGTTTACATAATGCTGCTACAGTTAAATGAGGTCATATTTTAGGACATACCAGTTGAAAATGTTTTGTATAGCTATCTTACTTAGATATAGTGTCAATTATTGCATCAACATTGTATTATTATGGTTTTGTAAGCACATTGTAACCTATACTAGCCTATGCAACTTGCAACACTCTCTTTGATTTCTCCTTCAGATGTGTTAAAAGCAGAATCTGTATTCATGTAATTTGAGTAACAGCCTGGCACAACATTAATCACATTAAAGTTATGACGTAAAATAGTAAATTAAGTATTTCAAATAGGACTCCTTGAAAACACTCTAGGGTTTTTCCTCTGGCCTTGATGTTAATCATGTTTACACTGTACACAGGCTTCAAACAGTCTATCATAAAACCTATCCTTAGACTTCTGGCTATAAAATATATGTATATATCATGCTTTCTATCAAATAAGTTATGCTGAAAGGTACTTCCTCTACGTCAAATATGTCATACATTCTGTTGAATATATCTTTCCAGAGCACTCACTGAAAAAACATGAGGACTGGCCTGCTATATTCTCAGACCCAGGAAATGTCATAGTTCAATAACAGTCTATTGTAGGAATATATGAAAACTAGGCAAAAGTTGTGGAGTAGCTCCCTGAAAACGTACTTTACGGCCAGTATATATTTTCATTTTACATACTCAATACGTAATGAATGAAACCACCCTAAGAAAATACATTGTTTGCCCAATTGTGGTTATATCACTGTTATTTTTGTATTATTAAGGATATTATATTATTATTGTCATGTTGTTATGCTTCATAATAATTTGAGTAATATATGTTTGGGAAAAGTACACGTTACTGTATTATTAGAGTGTGGCTTATATATTATTAAATGATCTTTTTGAAAATATTGCTTCCAAATACTTTCAATGTTTTATAATAAAAGAAACCAAAACACTTTAAAAAGTAAACAGACAACTTACATTCCTTAAAATATTTTCAATTTTAACTTGAAAATAACCATATTTTCCCCACCCTCAAGGACCCTAAAACACCAAGCCCACCTTATAGAAACTCCATTGACAAACATATCTTTATTCTATAGACTTCAATGCCTCTTTTTTCATCCAGCTGCAGGCCTCCAGGTTGTCTTCGTGTACTAGTGTTTGGAATTCTATGGATGTTTTATCCACTGTTGCCGGAATACCGTCTGAGATGTATAAATGTTTGACAAGTATGATCTAAACATAGGGGTCCACCCAGGGAGCCTGTAAATCTCCGGTGTAGTGAGAGAATGATAGTATTTAGTGGTGCTGGGAGCTTCAGCAGAGCTCTGCTCCCTCCTGACAGGGAGGATTACAACATCCCATTTGTTGCTGTGTGTGGTGATCTACTGTCACTAGGCACCAAAGAGGCATTCCTCCTATTTTGGAGAATGTAGTATAAATATATTGCTTAGACCATACAGTGCCCAAATGTTTTACCGCTACATTATTGTTTGATGCATAGTATATATCAGTAACATCAGGGTTTGAGTTACGGTGGTGGGATAGCAATGCTTGTTGTTGTGCTGTGCTCATCTTTGCTAGCACTAAATCATGAAAGGTACTTGAGCCCTGCCAAGCAGCTGTTGGTAAGCACCGTTGTGCATGGGGTTGCCAAAGGGAAGTGACCATTTTAAATCAACTAGCTAGGACATCCAAGCTATTAGAACGATAACTGCCAAGAAGGAGAATATCTAAATGTATTCTGTTTAATCTGTACACACAAACACTTTGGAGACACAATTCAGTTCAAGACAGTTCCTCCAGTCTTTCGAGATAAAAAGAGAAACACCTCTTTTATCAGGGCTATGATATTTGACATAGTTGCCATTCCAGCTCCCACTTAGCTCAAACTGAAAAATGAACACATAGTTAACCATTGAGGAAATAGCCCCTAATAACCACTAACACACCAAGAGTTGGATTCATTGAAACTTAGACAAGTTTATGCAGTATACATAAAGTATATTTATTTGTTTATTATTTATGCAGTAGTTTAGCGGCAGGTAGCCTAGCGGTTAGAGAGGCGAGCCTCTCCAGAGAGTTGTATCAAATCCTAGATGGCATCGCATGCGGTTGTGCCCTTGAGCAAGGCACTTAAAACCCCACAACAACTTCTCCACGGGCACCATAGTAGGCTTTGGCAGCCCGCTGCTCCAACCTCTTCAACATGTACAGTGTGTGTATGCGTGGCTTTCGGAGGGGTCGGGATAAAGCGGAAGTGAAATATCCGTTGGACCTTCTGTACAACTGGACGAATAAAGTCATCTTCATCTACTTCTCACACACAGAAATTGTATTCTGAAAGCTGGAAGCTTGCACCTTTAAAGTGAGCCGACCAGTGTAAAATCAAAGAAGGTTATTTTAACAGGAGCATACATTCCCCTAACTAATGCAAGATCTCACGATAGCAGCTCACTTATGAAATGAGAGCAGAGACCTGGGATGACTAGGTCTTGCATTCACCCCTGGTCTGACAAATCAGTCCAAGTAGGGCTTCCTGAAGAGTGTGAGAGAACGTGCCACTTTCAGAGAAGTCCTTTGGTTGCCCAGGGATGTTCAGTAAACTTGGAAATGTAGGTAACCAAAGGGATTAGGTTAAAGATTAATATGTATTTACACAACTGTGTTGACATTCACCGAACACAGGATATGTACTCAGTTATACTTTTTCTTCCCTCACCCTCCCCTTTTTATAGCATTTTTTCTCACGTGGCGGAACATTGAGTGACTGTGTTTCACTTAATTAAAAGCAGTGACCTGCCTGCCCAGATGTTATGTGCACTCCATCGAAAAAGAGTGTTGACATTCAATGAATATAAGAGGCCACCTGCTAACTTAACTCATGGCGTGGAGGATGATTTGCATTCCTGTGGCCTGTTGCTTGGCATGATTACTTCTAGCACTTTACAATCCCATCTACTGTTTAATATCATGGATTCTTTCCAATCCAGCTACATTTCTCCCTCTCTATAACGTATGGGGCTAGGATGAATGAGCTCCTATTTTAAGGAACTCTCAGCAAGTATACAGGCCTCTTAGCGTAAACCCCCTGACCACATGAAAGGAAGGGGAAACAGTTGCCATACTGAGGGCAGATTGATACACTGCCCCCTTCCCCTTGGGAGGGCCCCTTGCTGAATTACAGCCTGCAGTGAGTCAGAGGTGCCCTGACACTCATCACATCAACAACCCCCTACTTCTGAGACACACCACAAAATGGCTGCTCCGAAAACAGCCATAAAACAACCCATGACAACCCTCTAAAGTTTGTGTAGGGTGTTTTTCTTTTTTTTTTGCCGAAGAATGTTACAATAATGAATCAACCTTCATATTCCTATGGTTTCATGGTCATGGTTAACTTAGATTATCCTCATTTAGCATGTTATGCCTTTTGAAATAACTCAGACAATGGATAACAGAATATATTGCTGTTTAATATTCTAAGTTATTCTATAATCTTATTCTGGCTTTTGAAGATGTCAATCAGCTCCTTTATATCTAATTCCTTGTAAGTATGAAAAATGTATGCACTCACTAACTGTAAGTCGCTCTGGATAAGAGTCTGCTAAATGACTAAAATGTAAATGTAAGCCACTACACATTAGCAATTCTGAACTGCACACAGAGTGCTGATGAAATGTCAGTTTTGTGTTTCAGCGCTCGCAGTATGGTTACTCTGTTGATTTAATAGATTAAACAGACCCACCAGTACCAGCAATTGTTTAGGAACATAGTTTCATCTTGTTCAGCAAATGTGTTATACTGAGCAGAGGAAGCTGCTCCTGAGATGGCCCATCCATCACATGGGGATGGTCTGAAGCGCTACATGTTGATTGGGTGGTTCTCTCTGTAATGTTCAAAACATAAGTCACAGAAAGCATGTGTCTCTACATCAAAACAGATGTATTTGAACACAGAAAACAAACACACAGGGGTTTTTGTAACCTTGTAAGGCGCATGTAGGGTAGGGACATTTGTTTTGCTGTTTCAATTCCAATCCCTCAGTTTCAATGTTGGAATTGAAGACCGTTAGGGAGAAGGATTACTTTTTCCTGTGCATCGTGGAATCGTGAAACAGCACAATGCTATTAGATTGTACTTGTTGAACCTGGTGAAGTGCAGTAGTAACATGACAGGTAATCTCTTGCCTGTGCTATCATTTTTTTATATAAATCTCATCATAATGTATTATTTATGCAGATATACATTATTTTATAACAACAGAACAAGTGTCACCAAATGCCTCAACGTGGCTGGCAGAAACATTTCGGAGGGTGCGTAATATCCCCTCTATAGACGGTGGAAGGTGTTACGAAGAATAATACGTGGGAAAGGGGAAAACAACACTGTGTGAGGTTATGAGTCAAATAGTATATCCTTAACACTAAAAGCTGCAACATATTTCGACCTAAAAGCGCAATTTTTTACCCAAAATTGTAAATGATGGCAAAAATACACTTTCTGTCAAACAGTAAGGCTTTTTATTGTTTTAACCTTTTGTAACGCAAG